AAGTCATTAAAAAATTTTGAAAAAATTTACCAATTCTGGCCATTAAAGCCTCAATTAAAGACTTGGTAGTGAGAGTTGATAACTCATCATTCCATTGGCGAATTTCCATATCAAGTTAATGAATTTCTCCAATTAAATGGTGTCTTTTTTCTTCTACCAAATAATATTGTAAGGGATGAAAGTTTATTTCATCAAGAAAATGGATCTCTTATTGAAGATCCAAAATTTCTCTTTCACGCCAATATATTTCATATTGACAAGTTCGAATGGCGAAATCTAAATAGTTTGTCATTTCTTACACTTGGCTGTCCCACTGGGCGTGCCAAAAAATAGATGTTGGCTTTTTGGCTTTCGAAGGTTATTGTTATAATTGCGAGCGTGCCAGCAAGGATTGAAAAATCCTTATAGATTAAATTCAAGCCAATTATCAGACGATTGTGTTAACAATTCTTTTGCCTCAACGAAGAGGACTTCAAATTTGCCAAGTGTAGAGAAAAGAAAAAGATCCTTACAGATTAAATTCAAGCCAATTATCAAACGATTGTGTTGACGGTTCTTTTGCCTCAACAAAGAGGACTTCAAATTTGCCAAGTGTAAAGAAAAGAAAAATTAAAAGAAGAAAGAGGGAGACGGAGAAAGACGATTGAGTGAACAATCAAAGTAATAATTACTTACCTCTACTCCTATGCTTCGAAAAGGAAGTGCATAAAATGCTTCGAAATGGAAATACTGAAAATAAATGTTTCGAAATATAAATCTATGTTAAACTACTCCTAAAATAAAGAAAATGACAAGAAATATTGAAATCAATTGTCTTTGATTTAAGTTCTGGATCCTTTACAATGTAGCCATTAATGGCTATTTATAGAAGAAAAAATACAGCAATAACTACTTAGTAACTACCCATTTCTTCCATCTTCATTCTTGTCTTACCATGTGTCCTTCCACTCATCTACTTTGTCCTTCATATTCTCCATTATCTCTATAACTTCTTTTAACTTCCAAATGAATAAGAAGACGCCATGTGTTCTGCAATTATATAAATAATAAATAATAATAAAAATTACAGATTTATGGTGCTAACACCATTCCAAATGCATCCAAAATGGTATACGATTTTGGGTTTGGTTTTTATTTGGACCCGTTTTGATAATGATCTGAATTATTTATTTTTGTAAAACTCTTCAAGTATGTTATTTAAAAAAATTAAGTTAATCTTCTTAATTTCGCCAAAAAAAACCTCCCCTTTATATAGGCAACCTTGTTCTCCTTAAGAATAATCTACAATGTATTATTAATTTGGTATGTGAAATTCTCTTGGAGCCTTTCACAACAATTCTAACATTTCTAAAACTATTTAGAATCTAGTTTAGGATATTCTATACAAGTTCTAAAATTGTGTACAATATTCTTACATTCTCTCAAACTTTTTAGGAAGTTCTGGAATCTTCCATTAACCTCCAATGTTCCAATCCTTTTTTGATGGAGATTTTGTGTAGATAGTGGCGCAGCCATAATTTTTTTTTTTCAGTGAAGTTACTTAATTAGTTATCAGCGATATCATTATATCATATTTTTAATTCTATAATGCTTATGAAAATAAATTTTTACATATCTATTATAAATATACTGAAATATCATATATAATAATATTACAAACTAATTCAAACTAGCCAAATTACACATTAGATGCACTAATATACTATGTCTTTAATAAAATTAAGGACAATGAGATTGGGATTTTCAATCAATTAAATAGAAAAAAGAGACAAAATGATTGTTCTTGAGAAATATAAAAAATAAAATAAAATAAAAATCTTTTGTAAGCAATTAGAATGGCTTTTGTTAACATATGCCACTAAATGAAGTATTAAATGAGAATAATTACAAATCTTTGATCCAAAACTCATTCAGATGAAGTAGAAAATTAACTTTTGTTTATGGTTGTATTAGTAGTTACCTTCTTTTGAGTTTTTGTTGAAATTTTGATTTAGATTTGGGGGAATTGACCAGTAAATCCCATTTTATGGACTTGTAATCCATAAGGTCTTGAATGTTTTCTTAGTGACTGAGTGGTCCCTTAATTTGTTTGTTGACAGTTTTGCCACTGGTAGTATTATTGATTGACATTTGGTATGGGTTTGTATGGAATAAGGTGAAGGGGCGTTTGTGTGTCACGCTGATCGAAAAAGCACACTAATACTATTTTTAATTTAGTAAGTGTGTAAAACTCAGAACATGAGACGTGGGCTGTTACGTGAACACAAGTACTTTGACAATTTTTTTTTTTTTTTCCTGTGACATGGGTTGTTTCACGTTTCAGCTTCCCCACAATTTGACCCTTTGTTTTCCAATTGCCATTTGTGACGTTTCTACAATTGAAGTTCATACAATCTTTTTGTTCCTAAATTTGGGAATTGCAAGGCCCATTGTTCACGAGTTGCCCATTGTTCCTAAATCATGAGTTCGCATTGCTTGTGCCCAAGAACACATTGTTCAAGTTGATTACCAGATTTCAAGAAACTTGGATCCCTCAAGTCCCAACAATTTCGAAAATGGATTACCAGATACCAAGAACCCATTGTTCACGTCGATCTGCTCGATTTCTTCATCAGCGTCTTGTACTCTGTTTGAGGGTCCATATGACGACGCCGACGTGGTACACCGACCTGACGGATTGACGATCATCTTGTGCCCATTGTTCATGTCGATCTGGGATTGACATTCACGTTCACGTTTCTGTGCAGCAAACAAAGTTCACATTCACGTTTCTGTGCAGCAAACAAAGTTCACATTTCCTTTGCCTGCGACGACAGTGAGTCACGTTTGGTAATTTGGGTCTCATGTTTTGAACATGGATGAACACCGCAGTGCTGTTGGCTGATCCACGTTTGCTGACCCACGTTTGGTAATTTGGGTCTCATGTTTTGAACATGGATGAACACTGCAGTGCTGGTTACTCTTCTCTCCACCGCCACCGCAGCCTCCGTCGTCGTCTTCTCTTTCTCCGGCATACCCAGCAACGGTTCAGTCACAACCCCCTCGAGGTCCGAATTTGATTCGGAATTAGATCAAATCCAATTCTGGGTTGCGATGTACAGTGGGATTGAAATTGGAGAAGCTAAGAGGATTAGAAGGATGATTGCGAATGACTGAGAAATTAAACGATTTACATCACTCTGTTTTTTTAGATCGAATCCATTTTTGGGTTGCGATGTACATCAAATAACCTCTCTCCAAGTGGGTTTCTTTCTTTTTTCTACTCTTACGGCGTTGATGATTCTGAAGTATCGAGCTTCTTCTTTGTCTTCGCCGGCGGTGGAGGAAGGTGGGATTTCACGGAGGAAGAGAATGGCGGTGAGGCAGACGAGGATCAGCAAACGTGGGTCAGCAAATGTGGATCAGCAAATATACACCTCCATAGAAAAAAAACAAAAAAGGGGCAAACCTATCCACACACATATCACATAAAATCAAAATGGGACCTAACTATCCACAAAACATGCCAAGTAGGACTTGTCAATCCAAAAGAATAAATGTAGGACCAAATGGAATAATAGATTGATAAATAGGACTTTCTGATAATTTCCCCTTAGATTTGTTAAAATATACTATTAATTTGATTGAATTTTTTAGATTTTTTTATAAGAAAATTAAAAAAATAGTTTGAAAAAAAAATGAATAAACACTTTAGTATTTTTATATAATTTTCTCTTTTTGAGAAACAAATAATTTTAAAATTTTAAAATATCCTTTTGTATTTATTTTTTTTATCAAACTAATTTTTAATTTTTAAAACTCAACCAAATACAAATATTTTGCAATGAGAGTTTTATTTTGCAACACAAATATTTTGAGGGGCTCTCACTGTGTAAATACCGTTACCCAAAAAAAAAAAAAAAAGCACGGCATTGGAATTTGTGTTCTTGGTCTAACAAAAATGGGGTTACTTTTGTCCATCTAAGGGAAAAAAAAGTAATTTTTCAATAATATCAAATTTATTTTTGCTTTTGTTTTACCTTCCCCCATATAAATGAAGATTGTTAAAATTATTTATTACTTTCTTAACATATGCCTTAAAAGCACACGTTAACAAAATTCATAAAAAATTCTATACTTTAAGTCTATTTTTCTTTTAATATATTGCCTACTTTTTTTCCTCTAAAAAAAATTCGGCGCATTAAAATAAGCCTATTTTTCTTTAATTTTTTTATATATTTTTTAAAAATTCTATTTTTATGTATTTTTCTTTTCTTTTTTTTATATTTTTTAAAAATTCTATTTATATGTATTTTTTTTTTAAATAAAAGGTTCACATTAAATTACATCATTTTATATAGAAATTATGCATGAACCTTTCTATTTTTATACCATTATTCAAAAAGCAAAAGGATATTAGGATATTATGTTAATAAGATTACACTATCATATTTTTACATCACATTTTATACACAACTGTTGTTATAATAATATCCATATATTTTTTATTTTTTATTTTGATAATTGTTAATGACATTCTGATAGAATTAAGGAACAGCTGAATATTAGTGTATATGTTTTTACACAACATTACCTGGTGAATCATCCATGGCTGGACAATTAATTTCAGCATGATCTTCAATTTGCATTTTCTCTTCCATTTACACTTCATCCAGTGGCTTACGGTTTTTAATAGTATGATCATCATGATCTTTCATCTCATCATAAGACTCCACAACTGCCAATACATTAACAATTGAAACTGAAAGCTTTGAGGGTTATGGGAATTTTCTCTGGATTTTTCAAATTTCTCTGGTTTTTGAACTAAATTTTCTCTGGATTGGTCCAGAGAAATTCTTCCCAGAATTTCTCTGGACCAATTTTCTCTGGGACTGAAATTTCTCTGGATTGGTGTTGAGGGACCTTAGACATCATGAAAATATTTGATGTCCTTTCTACTATAAAATCATAATATCAGGGACCTTAAAAAAAATACCCCTATTTTTTTTGAACAACTTTAATGGTGCCAATTTAAGAAAGCCTTTCAAAAAATTTATATAATACTTACATTTTTCTTTAAAAAAAAAAATTCAAAGTTGAGTGGGTTGAACCCACTACTTCATGCATAGCCCCGCCCATGCATGTTATTACCATAATGCACTTCTGTACAAGCAACCCACCTAACTAGTGTGGGTGCCCTTAGCAAGCACGTGCATCGGCAAGCCGCCTAGGAACAGGCCCAAAGCCACCTGAAACTTCTTTCAAAGAAGCTAAGAGACACGATAGCCTTCCCACTCTGGGCACAACTGCCAACTCCTTGCTGACTTTGTCATCGCAAGAGCTATGGTACCCTTCCAAATCTGCTTTTGTAATCAAAACTGCATCCCCGGAGGGAGAGTGAGGAGTAGACACTAATCGGTGCTGCTTGTATTCTTGGACTGCCTGCACATCAAAAACCATTGATGTCGAGCAATGAACGCAAATGGAAAGTCAAATGATCCATCACTGATGGGTGATTATTCAATGTTCCCAGAGTATGATCACGTGGTGCTCCATAGAATTTTAATGGGTAGAAACGGATAGAGGCCATGATTTATGTTGGGGATAGGAGAACAACATAGGGACTACGTAATTGGTGATTAGCTTGGAATATGGCCATGTGGTAATAATCCCGAAACACCACGTGGCCATATTCCAAGCCAATCACCAATTACTTAGCCTCCATGTTGTTCTTCCATCCCTAACATAAATCGTGGACCCCAACCTGTCTCTACCAATCAAAACCTTAAGGAGCACCACGTATCCATATTCCGAAAATACTGAATAATATTCAACAATGTAGATAGTATGAGGAATATCCCTCAAGTTCAGAGATCTCATCTTGTTCAACAAAATGAAGGAATCTTTTAGGAAAGTTCTACTGAAAATCTTACCCAAACATATATATGTATATGCATTTCATAATTCTTTCTGGATTATTTTGTTCATAAAGTTACTGAAAATGCAGTGGTAAAAGAATGCAATCCAAACAAAGCACTTCTGGTTCAATCCAATCCATCACCTTTACTAGATCAATTTCACCAATGGGAAAGGAATTCTAAATTGCAGACCTGTTATAACATTTTCTTTCATATAATTCACTTAGTTTTCTTACCTTCCACTGCGAAGGAGCCAAGAGCACTCGAGGTCTTTTAGAACGCACATATTCCAGGGCAGCAGCAGGAGACATGTTCTTATACTCCACCTGCACAATGTGAAAATATTGATTCAATTCCACAATCTGTAGAATGATTAAAAAGGAACTAAAGAATAACTAATACACAGATTAATAACTTTCTACACAGATTAATAAATTTGGAAGGAAAACATTAACTCAAACCTTATAGGCACATATTCAGCGACAGATTAATAAATTTTATGCAGACAACACCACATTACCAAATAGCAAAGCACAATGGTTGTGCTTCTTCCACGCCCAGCTTTACAGTGGACGTAAGTAGTCCAACCACAAGATGCATTCTCATCCAAAATGAAGGAGTTACACATCAGCAGGAAAGAGAATCTATGAACAAACTACCACAGATGAGATTAAAGAAGCTTCACTTACTGTGAATGAAATCCACAGCCTTATTAATATCCACAAACGAAGGAGCAAAGAGGTAATCTCTAGTAGGAAGAACCAGATGGTCTATCCCGTGGGCCTAAGAAACAACAATGACGTTATTCTACTAATGAGAAACAGAAAACCGTATTGTTCATACTATAGGATTCGTCATTTCAATAAAAATATTTCCTGTTATAATTTATCTTTGAAAAGAAAAAGAAAGCACTGCTACGCAAATTTACTGCAATAGCCCCCAACCCCAAGTACTGATATAGTCCTTACAATGAATGGACCTCAGAAATTGATATGCTCATGTGGACAAACCTACCTTCGATTTTCTCATTGTTGTTTGTTTCCTTAAAATTAAGACAACTGACTAGACCACAACCACAAAAGAAACCAGCCAGTCATGCCAGTGCCCTCTCCAACCAAATCCTAATGAAGAGGGGAACTGCTACCACCCCACCAAGAGGAGGAGGATCTTAGATTTTATTGTAGATGTCTTGAGCCACTCCATGGAGAATTTAAATCAGATAAATGCATGCCAATTTTTAGTAGTAGAAAAATAAGGGTGAAATAGAACACCATATCCAACCACCAAGAGATAGATCCAACTTCAGATACACCAAAACGGGAAAAATCAATTATCAATTGCATTTAACATATTATTCGTCGGTCCTATTGCAATGAATTCAAATATTCAAATATCAACATCCAGGGAGACAAACACATCCCGACTAATATTACTGTTCAACAACAAATAACCATTAAAGCCAAGTATAAATATGCAGATGTTACTCACATGGTATAAGGATGTTGAAACCAATGTTTCGTAAGGTTCATTGAGAGTTATGACACCGCCAACACCAAGCTGTTTCAACCGTGGAACATCCTTAGGGAAAGGAACCGCACCAAGCAGAAGATACTAAATACAAATCAGAACATAAACAAAACACAAATCAGCTGATCATGTTTGCCTGAAGCTCAAATTCCATTTAATTACAAGAACACTGAGAAGAAGAAATCCAAAGTAGTTGCATTGGTCTCAATTATATGGAGGTTTTTATTTCCTCAAATACCAATTCTATGAATAGCACACTCAATTATCCACTCTATTCTGGCATTTTTCTCCAACAAACAAGAAAAACACCGCAAAGGTCCAAAGGAGAACATGACATGTCCAAATTGGGCAACATGTGTTTATTCTATTTTCCTGCATTTTCTCAACAACCAAATGGAATTTGAAGAACAAAATTTAAAAGATTACTAAAACACAACCCATTAAAACAGAAAAAAGTTTCCAATTTTTTTTTTTTGTGGTCCTTCATTTTCTCATCATCAACCAAACAAATCAAAATAGTATATATGCATCACACACCCATATATTCTAAAAGGTACTATATAATCCAACAATCCCATCAATTTATTCTATTTTCCTGCATTCTCTCGTAAACCCAACGAAATTTGAAGAATAAAATTCAAAAGATCACTAAAACAACAAAAAGTTTCCTTTTTTTTTAGTGATCCTTCATTTTCTCAGCAAACAAACAGATCAAAATTATATATATATATATATATATATATATATATACAATTTTATATATGCACACGCACACGGATATATTCTACAAGGTACTACATAACCCATTAATCCACTCTATTCTTGAATTTTTCTCCATCAACCAAACAACCATAACGTAAATGTCCAAATTGGGCAACATCTATTTATTCTTTTTTTTTTCTCCCCTGAATTTTCTCGGCAACCAAATGAAATTTGAGAAACAAAATTCAAAAGATCACAAAAACAAAACCCATTAAAACCACAAAAAGTTTCCATTTTTTAGTAGTCCATTTTCTCAGCAACCAAACGGATCAAAATAAAGTATATGCACACACTCTACCAGGACAACATGAATTTCCAAAGCACCACACAATCTATATGCAAACAAACAAGAAATTAGAACAAAACCTGATCGATTTCGTCCCACCATCTGAACTCAGCTTGAATCTTGTTCCGGAAAACATTATAGAGAAGGGTGGGATAGAACAGGATCCGAGCCCCTGCTCCGACTAACGCTCTCTTGGCATCGACCCGAACAATCTGTCTTCCACAATCAGAGTCTTCACTGTAACAACTCCTTCCATCAGATTCAACCTCGTCCACCTTCTCTTCGATCTTCATGTCACCGATTGCAACCAGAATTCGAACAAAAGCAAAACCCTAACGCCGATTCTTCTGATCAAAACAATCGGAAAACCTCTAAACCCTAGCGATTCGATTATTGGGTCGAATTTGAGAAGAAGAAAAAAAAAACTAGTTGAGGCGTGGAATCGAAATGGGTACCAAATTGGGCGAAAAATAGATCGATCGGAGGAGGGAAAAGGTGGGTTGTTGGAGTGTACAGAGACGTATATTCGGCATCTTTTGGTGATTATTCGAACATAAATGACCAGTTTGGTACTGCGATTCTCATCAGTGGGGTCTGAGTGAGTGAGTGAGAGAGAGAGAGAGAGAGAGAGAGCGATGCGTTCATAGCGTGGAACAGTAGATAATCTTGAATCAATTACAGCCTCCGTTTGGGGGGAATTTCAATTGCTTGACTTTTTCGTTTTTCGTGGAATCGAAATGGGTACCAAATTGGGCGAAAAATAGATCGATCGGAGGAGGGAAAAGGTGGGTTGTTGGAGTGTACAGAGACGTATATTCGGCATCTTTTGGTGATTATTCGAACATAAATGACCAGTTTGGTACTGCGATTCTCATCAGTGGGGTCTGAGTGAGTGAGTGAGAGAGAGAGAGAGAGAGAGAGAGCGTGAGTCTGGAAATTTGATGCGTTCATAGCGTGGAACAGTAGATAATCTTGAATCAATTACAGCCTCCGTTTGGGGGGAATTGGTTGACTTTTTCGTTTTTTGGTTTTTTTTTTATTATTTTAATTGGGGTTAAAAAAATTTGATTTGGGAAGGATTTTTTAATTTTTTAATTTTTTTTAACTTTTTTTGTAAGAAAAAAATATAATAATTATGAATTAAATGTGATATTTTATTTAAGGTTGGTTTGGGATGTCCTAAAAAAGTGCACTTTTTGACTTATTGGTGGGTTTGGGTTGGGTTTGATGTGATGTGTTAGAGAGGTGATGTGATTTAAATAAGATGATGTGACTTAAATAAGATAGTGACTTTTTAACTTTTTGACTTATTTAGTACATGCCAAACTAGCCCTTATTATTACTAAAATAACTTATTTTAACTTTGTGACTATTTTAGTCACAAATCAACTTGTCAACAATAGCCATACGACTGACGATACATATTTTAGTACTGACCGGAAGTAGTTATTTTACCCTATGTTCGGTTGGAAAATAGGTGAAATATATATATATATATATATGGTAAAAATACTATTAGAATGAAAATGTAGTTGGAATAATTTTAAGATTTTAATTAAACAATAAAATGTAAGTCTCATAACATAAAAATATATAATAAAAATTAGAAGAAATATGCCAATTAATGCTTTGCAATAGAAAAAAAATTAATTAATTAATTAATGAAGCATACCAGTCAGTGCTCTGCAATACAAAAAAAATGTCAAATAACAAATAAAGTATATCAACTAATATTCTACAATACCAAAAAAAAAAAAGACATAACAAATTAAGCATGCCAATCAATCCACAATAAGAAGAAGAAAAAAATGACAAATAAATAAAGCACTTCAGTTGTGCTCTGCAATTCAAAAAAAAAAATGACAAAAATTATGCAATGAACAATTATTTTAAAAGATTAATACATACACAATCCAATCATATATTAAAAGCAACACCCTTCCTTCTAAAAATATATAAGGAAGCAAAAATTCAAATTCAACCAAAATATATATGATTAGTTGTCTTTAAGCTAATTCAAGAGCATATTATTAGGAAGAAAAAAGAAAAAAAGACAATATGACCGAGTGAATAATTCAAATGAATATTATATAGCATACATCTAAACTTAGTTATAAATTGCACATAGATAAAAAAACTTTACAAAACTAAAATTCACATTGATAGGAAACTTTACAAAATCTAGATCGTAGCAAGCATATATACGCTTTTCACAAAAATAAATATGATCTTCAAACTTGTTCTTTTTTAGAATTCGTAGGAGCGCCTTATCACTTTTCAAAAAGTCTTTTGTATCAACTTATATGTATCCCCAATGAGGAGCATGCACAACAAGCTAGTAATTTATGAAAATAAAAAAGTTAGTATATTAGTAGAAGAAAATCTATATAAATATCAAAACACTTTTAAATTGAAATTACCTTATTACATTCTCATCGAAACAATCTTAGCATTTCTTTCTTGAAGAAATTGAAACTATAAATACAAAAGAATTAGAGGTAAAAAAAAATTAAAAATGTATGCATGTAAGAAAATGAGTAAAAAGAGTCGATATTATAGTTCGACGTAGGCTTCCATCCATCAGAAAAGAGCATTTTGTTATAAGGGAATTAGATAAAAAATAATAATGAAAAGAAAAGAAAATTGACTTCAATTTATAAGAAATATGTATTTTTTTTTTCAAATAAATTAAAAAGAAAACAACTTACGTGACCAAAAATAGTAATGTTGTCCATAACTAGAGGTTGAAGGTCAATGGTGTCTCAGCCTGAAAGTGTCTAGTTATGTAAATTTGACAAAGATAACTGTAAGAAGGCAGAATGAGGTTTAATAATTGCCATAAAGAAAGATTAATCAATACAAAATTAACAACCTCCTAACATAATGTAGTTAACAACCTACTTTAAGAAGTTCATTTGTGCATGAATATGACAATTGGAGAAATTGAACTACCTAAAGGCATGGTGTAAATTATGTTAGTATCAAAATGTAGTTGTAATTTATATGCATCATGTTGAAATTTGTAGAGTCTGTCGCATTTTTTGATTTTTGATAAAGACACTGAAAAAATATAAAGAAATATTATTTTTCTTAAAAAACTTTTAACAATTTTAGTAGCAAATCAGATAATAAAATATAAAAATTTATTTCAAAGAGAGGGTTACAATAAAGATGAGATGAGCAAGTACATAAATAGAATAAAAAGAGAAGAATAAGAGGTATGTAAAGTACAAAATAAAAAGTATGCTCGTGAATGACACAATGTAGTTGAATACAAATATAATTAATCAAAATGTAGTTGAATACAAATGTAATTTATCAAAAAACATACCAAAAACTTAAGACATTGAGAAATATAAAGAAATATTGTTTTTAAAACCCACACTCTACAATTTTGTTGGTACCACACACTCTACAAAACTCAATTAAAGATAACGACCCCTAGACACGGGTATATATATTTGTTGTTTAATCATAAATATTTCGTGTTCATTATTCATTCGTTACCAAATAACATCAGCCAAAGCTATTGTACGTCTACCAATCTATCAATACTTTACAATAAAAATAAAAATAAAAATTAATAAACATCAAATGAAGCACACTAGTCAGTGTTATGCAATCTCGAAAAATAGAATTCAAAATTAAACAACAAACACTGCATAGCAAACAGTGCTTTGTAATTCCAAAAAATTGAAATTAAAAATAAATACCAAATAATACACACCAGCTAGTGCCCTGCAATTTTTAAAAGAGTAATGCTAGAGACCCCAAATATTCTACCAAAAGTTTTACCAAATGTCTCACATGGGTATGGGACCCACGCAATGTGGGTCTCATGTGGGTCTCACACTCATGTGAGACATGTGGTAAAATTTTTGGTAGAATTTTTGGGGCCTCTAGCATTTTTGTTTTTAAAAATTAAAATTAAAAATAAATAATAAACAATTCACACCAACCAATGTTTTGCAATACCAAAAAAATTACTAAAATAAAAATTAATAAACATCAAATGAAGCACACTAGTCAGTGTTATGCAATCTCGAAAAATAGAATTCAAAATTAAACAACAAACACTGCATAGCAAACAGTGCTTTGTAATTCCAAAAAATTGAAATTAAAAATAAATACCAAATAATACACACCAGCTAGTGCTCTGCAATTTTTAAAAATTAAAATTAAAAATAAATAATAAACAATTCACACCAACCAATGTTTTGCAATATCAAAAAAATTACTAAACACCAAATGAAGCACACCAACCAGTGCTTTACAATACCAAAAAACTAAATTTAAAATAAATAGTAAACAATGCACACCAGCCAGTGCTAAGAAATCTCAAAAAAATAAAAACAAAAATTTAAGCAAGTGACTCCATCCTATTGTCAAGTAAATAGGCGGTGTTTGGCAAGTTGATTTTTGGGTTTTTTTTGATTTTTTTCACTACAAGACAAATGTTTTACAAAATCCAAAAAAATCAATCCAAATAAAATATCACATCAAACCCCATGATCATTTCACTTTTTCCCTCGCATATATCACATCCAACCACAAAAAAACTCAACTATCTTCCCAAACACAAAAAAAAATTTCTCCAATAATATCCTACAACTAAAAAAACTAACAAAAAAACTCACTTCCAAAACACCCACTATATTTAGTACAACTCTCTACATGAGAGCCCCAAAATCATAAAGAAATAACAAATATCACATGAAATAGAATGAACAAATTAGATATTAAAATCCCTCATTCATGTATGTAATGACAAATTAGATCGATAGTGCGTAAGGTTGGGAAAAAAAGTAAAAATAGAAATTACCATAGAACTTATCCTAGTTTAATGTCCTCGGTTAATCCAAACACCTAAAAATCCAAACACAGCTTCTAATAAATATGTTCTAATTTAATATGATTTTCCCTAGTGTGTGTACTCAATCCATGACTTGATGACCAATTTGCAAAAATCAAGTGCCTTGTTTTATGATTTAGAGCAGTCCTATATTGCATCCAAACAATAACCAATCAAAGCACTAACCAAAAAAGAGTTGAAACTCAATAAAATCCAAACAAACTATCGGCGACAAAAGTTAAGAAGCAACGCAAATTATTTACGCATGGGAATGCTGAAATCCTGAAAATCTAAGATCTTAAACAAACATTAGTATTACACTATCCTCTTGTTTCTCCACTAAATCTCATTAAAAGAAATAAGATCAGAAATTATGATTGCATTTAAACTAATAAAAAAATGAACATAAGAAAGAAAATCCATGAGTATCAAATCATCTATCTTATTGTGTCCTTGGGTCAATATCCACATGCAGGAAAAAAAAAATCTCCCACATATAAGAACAAATATGGTAGTCTATGCCTAAATTGATGAGCATGCCAAATCTGGTAAAAACAATTCTTATTTTTTGATGACATGACAAATCTTTTATTTTTTATGGTTTAGATTTAATTAAGACAAAGTGTAAGAAAAAAAATATAATATAAAAAATTAAAAAGCAAATTGAGATTTAGCTGAGAGAGGGAGGAAATGAATCAACAATTGCTATTAACTCTATTGAAGCTCTATTCAAAGTCACTTAATAACAAATGTTACATGCAAAAACAAAATTAAATGTCCCAAATGAGCAATACTCA